CCGGTAAACCGAAAGTCAGGATTGCCTTGTGGATTCTCCATACGGGCTCCCATTGGTTCCTGTCACTTTAAAGCTTGCACAGCCTGCAACAAATCTTCAATCATACCCTTCAACTCAACCAATTCTGTTTGCTGGTCTTGATTTCTTTTCCACGTCCGCTAACAAGCCCTCTACCACGATTAGCCATGGTTTATAAGCTAAAATCCTAGTTCAACTTTAAGATCTGTTCATCTGATACCACTTTGATGTGGTATGGAAGTAGAAACAACAAAAACAAAAGAAAAACAATGAACAAAACCAGAACAAAGGCTAAAATTGATCTTAAGATCAAAGTAAGAACAAGTTACAGCAGCTTTTAATCATAGCCCTTCGATACAAATAACCCCATCTAATCCTAGCCATTCAAACTAATTAAAAATGATTGCATGCTAATCATGACACATGACTAGATAGAAATCATAATTACTAACATTTAACTAAAGTAAAACATAACAAGATAACCAATTGGAGATAAATTTAAGAATGCTCTTGCATAACCTAGCCCAACAATTAAACTTGCCTAGGGCTTGGCTTAAACTAGGACTCAAGTCTCATAATTTGCTTGCATTCAACTCACAAAATACTTGGATTCGATTAGTTCATTGTTGAGTTGTTCTTGAGCTCAAGTGACCAATCGAGTCTAGTTCAAGTGTTTATATTACTCTGTCAAGATGGTTCAAGAGCGTAATCAACTTTTAATTTTTTAATATATTTTAAAAGTCCATGTATGTAATACTCGTATAAAACTTAATAATGTAAAGCTCAATCAAGTCCAGCTTGGAGGTCTCAGACATATGTACCCTGCAACAAAATGTTCAAGTTGAGCTTCAGGTCTTGGTTTTGTAATTGAGTATTGTCATGTTTAAGCTTGTCACTTTGTCAACTTGATTTGGCTCTGTTATGCGCCTAGACATTAACGAACTCAAACTGACTAAAAAGGTTGCCGAATTGAAAGTTGAGACAGGGACAATTCAAACACAAAGTAATCTGGAATTCTAAATATCCAAACTTAACAACCTAAACACCTTTAAATGACAAGTGGGCGGTTATGCCCCTTTTGCAGTAATTGCATAAATTCACTTGACTTGGCTTGCATGTGGAGAACGTGTTAGTGCAACTGTTCAGTGGCAAAATGAGTTTCACTGAGCTATCACTTGTTTGCAGGATTTGTTTTGGATAAAGAAGACCGAAGCATCACCAGATCTGATTTATACTTCAAGGACCTATTTCATCAGTGTGGATTGCACCTGTATAAAATAAAGGTACCTTCTATTGCATATTGACCACTTAATAAGCTGTTGATAATGCCTTTTTAAACTGAATAATCTGTTAGTTTTCTCATAAATGCTTTTGACAATTGTTGTTTCATGGGGCCTAATCCTAATTATTTTTTGACATGGAAAGAATATACAATACATAAAGCTACACAGGTCTGTTGTGGTATCTTAAATGGTGCTCAAAGTTCTTAATCAGCCCCAACTTCCATTTTTTTGATTCTGAAAAACAAAACCCCCCTCATTGGCTAACATAAAGTGGGAATCAATTCAGTATAGTACAATTTATAGATATGGTACATTTATGCCACCAATGATGCTTTGCTGCAGAGTTACCTATATCATGTATTCTTTTTATCTATCCTATTATCAATCACTTTTACAGAGAAATTATGGTCTTGAAGTCAAAACTGGATACTGGAATAATTAAAGTTATAATCAACCTCAAAATTGTGTGCTGGGTTATGGCGGTAAAGGGGTCAACTTGATGTAAATTACGCAACTTGGACTTACACCATAAAACTCAACCAAATTCCAACAGAGATTAACAGAGATTAGTTGCCAACCCATACAGTTGCGTCTGTTACACATAACCTTTGACTTGCAACATAACACTCCCAAGATGACACATCTAAAACTGATAAGTTTATATAGATCATGCGCTAATAGCTTCATATGTTGCCATTGTCTTAACAAATAAGTCTCTAAGCAAACATTAAAAAATTTAGATCTTGAAACTTTAAAATACAAGGTCTAGCTAAAAATCCAATGATAGGTGCAGGCTTTATAGGATGAGAGAGGGCTTCTCCTATTGTGAAGCCCTCGTTCCATTGACTTTCAGATGTGCCCAAAAAACATAACATTAGTGAGAGGCGTTGTGTGATCTATATTGTTTGGTAAGCTATAGATATCATATCATCTTTTGTATCCTTTTATTCTTATTTGATGTTGCTGGGTTGAATCGATAAGGGTGTGATTTCTAGTTGCATGTTCAAAATTCCCATTAGAAATAGGGGCAGGTTTGGTTTGCAATCCCTCATTTCAGTTTAGGGTTTTCAACTATCATAATGTGTCCTTTTGTTATTTATTTGTTTATCGTTTTGAAAACAGGACCAGAAAGGACTCCCTGAGGAATTGTTTGCTGTAAAGATGTATGCTTTAACAACTGAAGGGCCAAAGAAGGTACTTAAGACAAGATCCAAGGCACAAGCCAACAGACCTGGGATCATCAAATGATTCGTTGCCTCTAACTTCTGGCATTGTTGTAGGAGTACTCAAACTTTCTGCTGTAGGATGTGATTGTATCTTCCTCCTATGTAATTTATTAGTGTATTACCTCAAATTGTTTTTACTTTACAAGCTCCTTGTGGACAAATTTTGTTCCTTTTCGTTTGACGCTGTATATTAATCCCTGGTATACCTTTGAGTTGAATGACCATATATTTGTCTACTGTTGATGGGAAGAATCCTTATAAGTTGCAGTTATAAAGTCATTTGTTCATGTTATTTCATAGCTTGTCTAAGGGAGAAGCACATCCTTATGAATTTTCCTTTTTAAGGAGAAAGATGGAAGACCAAAGAGGGCATGGATAGAAATTACAAGAAATGAATGTACTTTTATTGAACTTGTTTGGAATAATGAATCATATATATATATATATATATAT